TTTCATGCACAAAGTCAGTCCCACATTAATTTGGTAAAATAAGCTGTGTATTAGTGCTTGGAATAAAAGAGGGGATGGGAGGGTGACAGCATAAAAAAATTGTACTTGAATAATGAAAAACTCTGTTAATATCCTTTAAAGCTAATTTTCATTTTCTAATTGATTTGAGGGAGTTCTTTTGTCACATCATAAGTAGTGGTGAGTCACATTCCCCATATTTAGAGAATTTAAAGCCTAAATTTGTTACAATCACATAGCTTTATCTTCAGCAGAACATCAGTAATAGAAATTGACCCAGTAATTCCTTCACAGTAGCTGAATCCTAAAAGAATGTGCTGAAGCTTATATTTAGGAAGCAATTTAATCTTGTTTTAAAAGCATTAAGTAGCACAGACAACCCCCTGTGTCAGGTTGCTCCCTTTATTATTTATTTAAAATAAAATTTAATTTTTAAAATTTATTTCTCTTTGACTTCATCTAGTTACAGTTTCTTGCTGTTGTGTCTGTACTGGGCTGCAGTGGAGCAACTCTAGTGTAGCTGAGATGGTTTTCATCCATTGTGGCATATAGTCCATTTGTGCCTCATTTTTCTTTGGTGTGAAGGACTGGATGCAAGTAACATTTTGATGAAAAATTGTGTATCCTTAATAGTTAATTCACAAGCAACTTCTTTCCCAGCACAACATTTTTATGTAATTATAAGTAGACTTCTGTCCAACTACTTGTCCAGGATTCCTCAAAGATTTTGGTTTGCCAAATGTGGTTTGAGATGCAATTAATAACATGGTAGATTCCAGAATTCCTGATGAGGTTAATTTTCCTTCTTGTAGAATATACCACTGTCATAGAGATGTTCTCTTTAGATGCGTGAGATGGAAAAAAATTTAAAGAATAGCTTAGAAAAAAGAATTATCTGGAGTTATTTATATTTAGGAATCAGGAGCCCTGTTTGCTGCAATAGCTTCCATGCTTACCACAGAGCAGCTTCTTCCACTGACCCTATTAATTTTATGAAGGTTAACCCTCTGATGTTATGATGGTATTTTGGAGATTATTAATTAATATAGATACATTATTGCTATATTTACATGTCATATAAATGCTTATGCAATAAGTAGGGAAAAGGAATTTGTTATATTACAGGAATGTGCATGCTAGAGGGTTTATGGAATGAGAATTCAAGTGCCTTAAACCAAAGGTAGGGTTCAAAGTCATTGAACTTGTCATAACTTGCAGAAAGAGACAAATTACCTATATGCTACTTAGGTTCTAAAGGAAAGTACTTCATGTTAAGCACAGTTCATCCACTACTTTGCCACTGTACTGTTACTTCAAAATAGTACCTCTCCTTTCCTTAAAGACAGAAAAAACACATTAACTGACTTTCTATGACATTTAAGACAGCGTCTTTTTTCTTCATTGGGAAGCAGGATTGTGCTGGCTTACCCTGCAGTGCTTTTCAGAGGCACTCAGATGGTCTTGGACACGAATAAATGTGTGCTGCTTGCCAAGAGGGGTTGCACCATAGCGTGGTGATGTGTTTGGAAAAGCTAACACTTGCATGTCCAAATGAAAATAAAGGGTGCACAGTCTTGAACTGTACCTATGCTGGGAAAAAAAGTCTTGTCAGAACCTCTGGGATAGCAGTAGACTCTTCTTTTACTTCCCCACTGTTCTCCTGTTGTCTATCAATCAAAACAAACAAACAAACAGGACAAAAACAAAAAAACCAAAACAGCAAAAACAAAAGAACAACAACAAAAGAAACCCCCACAGCATAAATGAATGCTGTGTTAATAATTCTTTTTTAAGAAAGAGATTATATTATTATAGAATTATTATACTATTATAGAATTTCATACAAAAGGCACATTCTCAACTTGCCACTGATTTCCAAAGCAGTGTTCCTTACACGCAGCCAAAGCCACTGCATTCAGTTGCTGAGGATATTGTGTGCAGCCACCACACAAAAACGTACTTTCCTAATTCGGGCACTGGTGTGGCTGGTTTAGAGTGGCTGTGACTAAATAGGTGGTCACAGGAAAACCATGCATTAAAAACTTCTGACCTGAAACGATTGGCAGATGTGAAGGATCTGTCCCAGGCTCTTTAGAACAAGCCCACTATAACCTTGGCTCCCTAGTTTCCATGGTGTATGTATTCCTATCAATTCTTGGATCATCTGGAAAGACTACCCAGCTCAGGCTCTGATTTTCTTTCATAGATAGTTTCTATGTATAGGAAACACTCGTATATTTCTGAATGAGAGCTCATACAGCGAAGCAGAACCAAGGGAGATGCTTTTCCATTTCTTATTGACATCAGATCAAGATCCAGTGTGCTCCTGGGAAATACACTCCATGCAAATGAGGTCCATCCAGTCAACTGAAACACAGGCTAGTGCTGTGTAAGTGAATGGGTTTTCTGCCCACACTGGCTCAATCTGAGATAGCAGCACAGCTGAGCAAATGCCCCTCAACACCATTTGGTACTAAAGTGGTTGCTGTTGCACAGTCTGTACACCTAGGTAAGAGTGCTTTGGGTCTCCTCTTGTGGCAAGGACATTTACTTGGAAATGTAAAAATACCCTAAATTTCATGGCTGGACTTTGCTTTGAGCATGACACTGGGCAGGAAGCGGGGGTGGCGTGTTTTTCACTCATCTCCACATGCCAGAGTTTGAGTCAGTTTTCTCAGAGCTTCCTTTACTGTCCATGGAGAAAGCCAGCCAATATTTACAACACATTTATCAATCTCTTTCAGACATCAGCAACAGAGAAGTTTACGTTTAGTCAGATGGACACTTAGCACCAGACTTTAAAGTGTGTTGAGATAGATGTCTGATGATGCAGACAGATACACAGTGGATATGTCAAAAGATGGTGGAGATGATTCCAGGCTGTCCTTTTTATCCTGAGGAGTCAAAACACCCTTAACAATCAGTCTCTGAGCTGCTGGGCTGGTGATGCTGGCCTACTGGGGACAGGAGCCTTGGGTGCTGGATATCTACACTGGGGAGGGTTGCTAGCAGCTGTGACCTGACTCATCCAGCATTCTTTTGGACCATACCTGGACACAGCTGGGGTGTTAAAGATAGACCAGGTGTCCTGTAGGTGACTTGCATGCAGAGCTCTGTGAAGGAGTCTGAGTGGTGCTGGTACGTGTGACACAGGCCCTCCTGGGTGAGTAGTCTGCAGTGCCATGGGATGGTTGCAGCCATGCCTGTAGCCTGTGTGTCCCTGCTCCTTGTTTATTAAATCACGGCCGCAGTGTTCCCTGTTGGAACTGTTTATAAGCATCAGTTAAAGCTTGTGGAAGAGTTCCCAGACAGGGTAGTTTACAGCCAGAGTAGACCCTTGGTCCATTTTGCTCACAGCTGAACAAATCCCTGTCTTTATCACTGGAGAAGACTGGGATGGGGGAAGGTAAATATGTCAGCAGCAAAAAGAGGGAGGTGGCAGCAAGATCTTTAAACCAGCATTGCTGCCAGAAACTTGTTCTTCAAATGACCCCCTGTCGACTTCACCTGCCAATCCGTGGTCGTTTGAATAGTTCAGTATATTGGCTTCAGGGAGCCCCAGAACAAAGACTTTCCTTAAAAAACTCAGACCTTACTCAGATAAAACTCCCACTCATGCCCCAGGGAGTTTTGCATGACTCAGGATTACAGGATGGTGTCTCAGCTTTGTTGTGTGTACTGCCCGTAGCTGGTTTTAGTTCTGTGGATGAATAAAGGCTGTGCCCATTTACAAGAAAACTTGATTTCCGTTTGTTAAAAACTTTAGCATCCTCTCTATAAGCTAGAGGTGGGGCTTTTGAGGAATTTAGAAGTGAGGAGGAAGGGCACCCACCCGAAGGAGGTGCCTTGGGAGAATGTGGAGAAGGAGAGGGCTTCGAGGATCTTAGGGGGCAAGCAGTGGTATTTGAGATTTTTAAGTAGCCCACACTCTTCCCAACGTGGGCACCAAGGTTTCCGAGATGAGGAGTTGCTCAGTCCTGGCAGGACTGCTGTTAAGCCCAAGCTCAGCTCTTGGGTCTGTTCAGTGTTTGGGGATCCTGAGGTGTTTTTTTCCCCTCCTCCTGCGTGACAGGTATGGTGCATCATCCCTTTAGTTTCTCTGATTCTGCAATTACTCATTGTTATTTTGTGTGAGCAAAGCCAGCAGGTGTTAAAATACCTTCCCCGTCAGCATGTCCTGCAGTTTCTGTTTCCTTGAATGAGACAGGAAAGCAGTCACTTCAGGGCCAGAGAACTGGGCCTCATTTTGTCAGCTGGAAGGTGACTAGTTAAAATCTAACTAGCAGTCTCACACCCAGTGCCTGACAGGAACAGTCTCTGAAGAGTATTAAGAAAATAAAAATTCCCTGCTCTGTCATATAATGGAAATGAGAATACTTCAACAGCCATCCCCTCTAATCTGTTAGCCAGCCCTTAGCAGCTTACCAAGCCTGTATTTAACCTATTTCCCTAATGGCAATTAAGAAATGTTTTCATTTCCCAGGGAGAGGATTGCCAATGAAATCCCCCTCTCCCCCCCAATCCCCATCCTGTGGCTCCGTGCTCTCCCTCCTCCTCCCCACACCCCAGCTCCTTCTTCCTTAGCCCAAGGCATCCAAAGCATTCCCCGTGTGTTTGGGTAGCATGCAGTGAGGAAGAAATGATTAAGCAGCTGAATGTTTGAAATCCAGCTAAATGCACCGATTATTATCTGCTTAGGGCTTTCTTATCTCGAACTGTGTGGTGCTTAATGGTAGGCCCATTGTTTTCAGCTCAAAGGTATTAATGAAAGAATCAGGGCAGCAGGCTGATGTCATAGGTGGCTGAAAGGTGACTTGTGCACAAATTTCCCTTATTTCACCCCTTTACAAGGCCCTTCCAACTAGTTCAGAAGGGTTAGTATTTTTAGAGTGGAGGGGGGGAAAAAAAGCCAGCAAGCAGCCGAGGTAGCATTTGTGTGCCTGGTAAAAGGATTGCAGAGGCTCCTAAATATCCTGCTTAAAAGATGTACTCTCTGAGCTTCTGCTCTACTTTCTCACTTCATAAAGACTCTGAACTGTTCACACCTGCCCTAGGCGCTGACCAGCACACCGTACTTGGTGTCCTGACCTATATCCAAGGTGAGGTTTCCACTTAGCGTCTTCCACGGGAAGAAAGAGAAGCTGTGTAAGTAGCTGCAGCCAAGGATGGCTTCTTGAGGTGGATGAAGCCCTCAAGAGGATGCACAATTTAAGGAAGTGCTTTCGTAGTCAAATTATCGGCTGTACTTTTTGTCACTCTTCCATCCGAGTTAAATCCTTTTCTCTTTTTTTTTTTTTTTTTCAAATGTACATAATTATTAGATGCAAAGTGGTGTATGTTGTGTGAGGAGAGACTATTTTCTCTGGGGTGAGATATCTTGAGTGTATTCAGTTTTTTTATTACACAAGCAGGGAAAGAGGTAAAGATTCAGAATGGATTCGATTTCATTGTCATTGTTTGCATTTTAATCATACACTTATTTTTGTAATTCATTTTCTGATAGATTTAATTTGGTAATCCTTCCCTTTTGTCATCAACATGAAAAACACTCTTCTTTCTCTGACTTAAAGTACTGCTCTACATGGTGATGTATGACTTAGGATGGATGACTTAGGCATCACACTCCTGCAAAAATGCTAACATTTCTTCAAGGGTTTTTTTAATGAACCCATCTAAGAATTCAAGGATAGATGTGCTACCAGAAACTGACTTGTGGAGCTTTTGTGATTTTTGGGACAATAAAAGAAAACCAACTTTTAAACAGCAGTGTCATAAGGTAGCAACTAAAGACTAATTGTGTCAATACATATACAAGCTGGTCTCAGACTAGAATAAAAAATTATGCACTTTTTTTTTTCATTTCAATGAGATAATATTTTTTGCGTAATATGTAAGTTAATCAGAGTCTTTGTGATTACAGTTATAATGTCTTTGCTGGCATGGGATTCATAAGATAGGATTTCTGTCTTACCTAAACAAATGAGTGAAGAGCTTAATCCTTTCAAATTTTTGATGGGTTTTTGTTTGTTTTTCTCAATTTCAGTTTAGTTTCAGTTTGATGAATATGCAGTGGCTTTCACTGTTAACTGGAGTACTTTGTGCCTGTTAAAGGAGCTATCTAAATAGTCCACTGGCAAAGAAGACTAGAAAGTCAAAAGAGAAAGCAGAGGAGAAAGAGTGGCACTGAATACCCATACATGCATCAAAGCCAGCTGCTGTCTTGAGTAAGATTTACTTAACAGGAAACCATCAAACACCAAAATGCTCCCTTCAATTTTTTTTTCTAGGGAGAAAAAGAACTGCATAGCACTAGATTGACTCTGAGTTGTTTTTTGTTGGTTTTTTTTTTCATTCTGACTTATTAGTTCATGACTGGGATTGGTTTGTGTAGGGTGTTTTTGGCTTATTTGGGGTTTTTTGGGAAGGGTTGAGTGAACTGACCGGCACTTCCAGTCCTGTCCTCTCCCATCCCCTCCTGTCCCCCTCCCTGTTTCTGTAGGTTCAGCAGTAAAAACCTATTGAAATGTGAGATTACCAAACTGAAGCAATCAGTCTGAAATGATTAAGGAAGATGACTATTCTTTTCTTCAGATGACCAAAAGTCATCTTGTCCGGAGTTCCTTATCTTCAAGGTACTATTTCACAACAGTTTCTGTCTTTCTAAGTATGTATTTCCTGTTAAAATCTGAAGACTTAACATTGTAGGTAAGCTTGTATGTACAAATTATCACCAGCCGTTACAAAAATTGATGTCTGTCTTTCTTTTGAAATTAAGTTGAATTTTTTTAAAAGAAAAAGTGTTTATTTATTTCTTCAATAATTTAGGAGATTATGTGTCAAGCCTAGGGTGAAATTTTGTTTGCTGAACTTATCTTAAACCTCAGGAGGGGAGGAAGGTTCCGTTTAAAGGTCAAAGCATTTCAAGATTTCAATTCAGTGTGTTTTTTACCTTTAAAGTTTTCCCTTACCCCACCCAGACCTTGGACCTTAGAAGCTTTTCAGATGCCTTACACACGTTCATCTTGTATTGAAATTTTTGAAATAGCTCTACATTAAATGCCAGAATAGTTAAATATTCATGTACATATTATTAACATCTACTGTGCACCAACACTTCTCTGGCGAGAAATTCAGTGTTTGAGGTTGGAGGAGAATTGCTGGAGCTGACAAAATTCAGATGCTAATGATAATTAATTTATGTAGTGGCAAAGATAGGTGCACTGCCAGGTGCTTTACAGGCAGATAAGATCTGGTTTCTGCTTCAGTGAGTTTACAATCTGAGGCCCCGGTTTTGCAAATACTTATGCACATGAGTTATGCCACCGAGTGCAGTGACACTACTCATGCCTGTGAAGTTACTCACCTGTAGTGAGCTATCTGTGTACAGTTTCAATTGCATTAGCTTTTCAATTGATTGTGTGGTGAGTCAGTAATTGTTCAGGCTGATAATTGTTATTTAATAGGCTCTGCTAGTCAGAAATTAAAGAAAAAATACAGGAGTCACCTTTCTGCAAGGGAATTGAAAACTCAGGTTTTCCTGGGAAGTTTTTTAGGAAGCAAACAGTCCATGTTAGATCAGGCTTTTTCATGTCACACTGGCTTAAATTATGTCTATTTGCATACAAATCAGAGAGGAGAAAAAAGTCACTCGATAATTGGAAGGGAAAAGTGTTATTCCCGTTCCTCATTTGTCGTGATGCTGATCTTGGGGCCACAGTAGGAGTGTTTCCAGTGAAACTACTTTCAAGTCTGGGAAAAAGCAATCAGCAGAGGCCTTGGTAGCTGTAAATTTGTGGCAGCAGTCCCTAATTCATCTTGTAATTCTATGACAGGCTCTGAATTGCCCGTATTTGGCCAGGGATCACCTCAGTGGACAGTTAATGAAAGAGCAGAGGAAACTTGAAGGTCAGTCACACTAAATTTTTTCTTGCTGGCTATGTCTTTTTTATTGCATCCTATCTTTCTTTGTATAATTTATTAAAGAAAACCTTTTTTTGTTTGTTTCTGGCAAAGGCATATCTATGCCTCTTTGTTTATCTGCCTTTTTTGCTTGAAGCACTTATAAAACAGCCTAAAATGCCTCCAAATAGATGTTTCTGTTGAAATCACTTGACAGAATTACACTTTAGCCAATTTCTATTTCTTATCTGAGTGTGGTTATGAGAATAAAACAGCAACAGATGCTTCAAACAGGTATATTTTTGAGAATGGAATTTGTATATTGACATGTGAAACTAATCTCAGCATAATGAGAAGACTTTAGTTACTGGCTCATGATCAGAATAAATGAATTTGAACTTCAGAAAGCCATGAGACTAATTAAAATAACACCAGAAAATGCATTTGGGTCTGCTGGAGTCAGACTAACCAGCAGATAAGCTGTAATAGCATTTGTTTCTTGAAACACTGTAGTAAATGGGGGCTGACTTATCAGAACACAAGACTTTTTTTGTGGCATGTACAGCATAACAGACATGTTGGAAAAAAAACAAACAAACAACAAAGAGGAGTCGTGGATTAAAAATTAAAATGGCCTTTTCTTTATCTTCTTCCTTCTTTCTTATTTTATAAGATAATTTTACTGTCATCACTGTTTTCTCTTTTTCAGAATCTTTTCTTTCTTTGGAGGACATCAGTCTTGTCTCTTGTTTTATCTCCTTCAGCCTGTCTCTCAGAGTATCTTGTGTCTTAATCTTCTCTCTCTAGCTTATGCCTTCAACCTTTTTGCCTCCTTTTTCTGTCTTTTTCATAGTGTTGTTTTTATCTCTCCTTTATTTTGACTTCCATTCTAAATACATTGTCTTCCCACCTCAGAGTTCCCTTCCCCTGTTCAGCCTTTGTCAGAAAAAAATTCATAGGGCTCACCATCATTTGACCCTTACAGATAAAGTATTTTGAATGACCGCTCTGGCTTCAAGAAAAAAGGAAATGTTGGTGGATGAGGCAGTGGTTTTTTTCAGTATCTGAGCTTCTTTCAGTCACAACAAGATCAACTGCTACTTCCTCTCAGGTTGAATTAAAAATCCTTTGCAATTCTTGGGAAGCTGCGTTTGCTATTAAACTAAACCTACAAAGTAGGGAGAAATTGGAGATTAAAATAAAAGTGGGTAGAGAAGCCCACTTTCTGCCTGCTGTACAAGGGAAAATTTAAAAATATTTAGAGGTGAGTTTATTTTTCAAAGGACATTCAATTTAAACAAGTGGTAAGAATTAACTGCATTTTAATGATTATCATGTAGTCAAGGATGCCCTTACTATAAGTAGAGTACAATGAGCTTTTCTATTTGCAAACTTGGGATTCCATGTCACTTTTTAATAGGCTTCTGCAGCATACATCCTTTTGAGTGCCTGTGATACAGCAGAGGTCATTACCAGCTGCTGGACCTGCTACTTGGCTGTGCCTGTCTTGGCTGGTGGGATGTCTCCTGTGGACACTGTGGCTGTGGCCACTTGTCATTTACCAGCACCAGAGGATTCCCAGCCCCAATGCTTTTGCAGATCCAAGGCAAGCAGATCACAGATGTGGTGTGGAAAGCAAGGTGATGCTTTCTACCTTGGTCATGCCGTTGCATCTGTACAGAAAAAAGGGAGGTTTGTCCGTACGTAACCCTTTGAAAATGATGCTAATACAATCTTAGTCAAGTCTAGTGGAACAAAAATGGTCTTGGTTCTTGCACAAGCCAATGTGGCCTCTCATAGTTTTAGCAACATCTCATTTCTACACATGCTGAGTTTCCAATATTTGTACAGGAAGCTGATCTGTGAAGGTTGATTGGAAGTGATCGGGATTGTTTGGGTCTTAATTTTGCATATTTCTGTTTAAATCAGATTAAGTCATCATATTTGAAATGCTGGATTTGGCAGAAACAAAATTGGTTGAAGGAGGACATGAAAATCTTCTCTTTGTGTGTAGAAGACTATCATTAACTTAATATAACAGCGTGTCAAAACCCATCATATGCTAAGTGTTTATAAAGTGCTTTTTTTAATGGTGTAAAAAATTCAATAACAGCCCAAGAACCTTCTCATTATGAGAGGAGAAAACATTAGTGCTTTTCCTGACAGTGTTCCTTTTCATGGGGGATTCCTCTGTGGAGCACTAATCAAGCCCATTCAGAAAGATCTTAATTAATTTAATTAAAATCTGTCAGATCAAACTGATTAGCCTGACATCCAGCCTGGCGGGACGAAGGAGGCTGGTACATGCATTGCAAGTGTGTTGAGGTGGGCTTGCTGCTTGCAATCAGAGATGTGTGGCTGCTGTGGGGATCAAAGCCGTCTTTTATTGTCACCAGAATAAATGTCGTGGCTCCCCCAGGCAAGTGATCCAGTTTCTTTTTGTTAGAAAATACTTTATACCTCCTCAGCCCCGGCAGCTCAGGAGGGGACAGCAGGTACCTGGTTCTGCATGTGATCGAAGGGGAGTGCCGGGTGACCTTTCCTGTTCCTCCTGACAACAGGAATACAGATTAGACATTTCTCATCCCTTCACCATCCTCTGTCTCAGCTGTTGGCCGTGGGTAGGAAAGAGAGGCCATGGTGACAGGAGTGACTGCATTTTGATGCTCAGCGAGGATGTTGCTGCAACACAGCCTTCCAAGGAGTGACGTGTCCACATGGGGCATCTTCCTTTTGCTGCCACCTCCTACTGAACTGAGGTGGGAGCTGAGAAACTGCACTCTCTGCTGTCTGGCTGTGCTTGTCCAAAACATGAGGAACTACCTCAACCACATAAGCTTCTTAATTCTGCAGCTGCTAATAATGATGTGTGGTTTCTATGGCAAACATCAGGACAGCCAGTGCCAATCTGTGTCTCTAGGTCTTTCCACTTCCCCTACCCCACACATGTACTTACCACGTACCTCTCATCTTCAAAGATATTAATAAACACTTTTATCCGTCATTATAGTGGGATGGATGCATCAAAAGGGTAATGGCTAGTAAATACTCCATTTTTCAGGCCCCAATCCTGCAGGCGCTTAGGCATATGTTTTAGCTTTATGTGCCATAATTCAGGGTTCAGTGGAACCATTCACAGTATGTGAAGCCAAGCATATGTGTAAGTTAGGAATTGTAAAGATTAAATAGCATTCCTGTTAGCTGGAAATCAAAAGGTAGATGAAAACAGGGACTCCAACTACAGAGGAAATGCAGTTCCTGAAGGAAGAGCAGCAGCAGCAGCTAACATGAAAGATTTGCCAACAGAAGTGACATGTGTTTGGTCTTTATTTGTGAGAGGCACTCTTCTGCTGGCAAAATACCAATGGGTCAGTTTCTCCAACGGTGGAACTCATCTGGAGCACTGAGTTCCATTTGCATGGCACACACCTAATGACAGCATCTTTCTACAGTTTAGAAGCATGTATCTGATTTAAGTACTTGGACTTCACCAGACTTTTTGCCAGGAAATGATGGATTGTTGGAAGAAATAGGACGTAAGTTTCATCTGCAGATGCTTTTCCTGACTTAAACCTTCCCAGTACTTTCTGGCCATGTCAGTTGAATTGATACCAATATCCTTGAAATAGGTGAGGTAGCTTTAGTTTGAACAGCAAGCCTGCAATAAAAAGGGTATGTGTGGTCAGTTTATGATGTTATAGCTGGAGGAAGATGCTTTATGGAATGATTCATTGTGATAAAGATAGGGCAGACAAATAGATAGAAATAAGTCACTAGACACACTAGCCAATATATTTGTCCTTTTTTTTTTTTAAATAAAATTGTAATAATATTTTGTATTCTCTGCTATCTGAGACTCAGCTTAGATATTTAGACCCATTTTTCCCTACCTGCCAAGGGCTTCTTTGATCCTGATCTTGTATTATCTCCACACTGGCCCAAGGATCCACCCATGATGTGATCTTTTAGCAAGAAAATGTATTACACAGTTTATGTGTAATAAACGTGGTCTCTGTTGATGGTGACTAAACTCAGGCTGTTCTTCTAGTGGAGTACCAGAGTCTATCTTTCTTTCCCCTCATTGTTTTTACTATGGAGTCCTTCCCGGGCATCTTCCCAACTTCTCCATTAATTTTCTCCTAAGATAATGCAAAACTGAATTTTATTCAACTGTATTTATTAAATAAATTGGATTCTGCTCTAAATTTTTTTTCCTAAA